TTCGCGATTAACCTTGACACCATATATGTGTGTCAGCGTTAAGGTCAACCATCAGCCTCTCCGTAATGCGTAGGTTAGCTTTAGAGGAAATTAAGACTAAGTGAGATGCTAAAATTCAGGGTGCCATCATCTGTCAAGTCTCCTGTAGTCTGAGTACCAAAAGTGATACGGTAACGTGAAAGGCATGAAAGACAGAGGTCTTGAAGCTGCCTATTAAGTCCTCATAGTGAGGAAACTTATTGACTCATACGGCTGCAAAGTATCGTTTTATCAAAGTGATTGGAGTGAAATGTCATGACAACATTGCTTTCGCTAACTTTTATCACCGAGACAACGCCTGCTTTCCGCTAATCCAGCCCTGGTGCATGTGCACAGCTTTCAAATGCTTTCATAATTAAATAGTTTTCAAAGATATTCGATTATATCGAATGAAGGCATAGGTAGGAAAATCGAAGTTTTCACGGTTGTATCAAACTCAGTGTGGTTGGAGATTTACCCGAATCTAACCGCTTTAATATAAGAGTGTACCTTATAGTAAAGGAATTATTAATCAAGATAATGGTAGCTGACACTCATCGAGATACTAATTTAACTAGTGTATTAGGGAATAATTAAAAAGAAACGCACATTGGTATGTGAGCTTACTAAGCAAAAAATCCTCAGGGACACGAAGGAAAGGAAGAAATGGCCTTGCCTTTCGTTGTGGACATTTAAATTATGGGTATGAAACTGGCGTCCTCAACGTTGGTCTGATCGGCCTACATTGTTCAGTGAGCACCTACCCCATTCCATATGGCCAATGGTATTCGAATCAAGAATAAAGATAACCCCTTTTGGGTGCATACCGGAAGTAGGGACAGAATACAAAAGGCTTGAAATGAATCAACTGCATAGACAAAATAAGCAGTCTGCATATGTGCCGAATTCTGTATCTATGATTATAAAAACTGTAACATTTTGAGCGCATTGTGGAGTTGAACCTTAGAAGGCTAGTTAGACTGGGTCAAAAAGTCTGAAGGTCTTGTATTCCAAAAATTGATGCATTGCATTCCACTAACGCTCTTCTAAGGTGGACATTGCGATAATTGTGAATTGCGAGTTTCTTCATCCTCACGTGGGTGGACTGGGTGTCACCAGTTTAAAGCCGCGAGGCGGTGGTTGGCATCGCCCTTGCGAATCCTTATATGCCTCTAGAATCTAACGGCCGTTAAATTATTTGAAAAATAAAAAGTTTCAAGATAGGGCATAGACACGGTCGCATCATCGAATTGCTTTCGGAGGGTACAGGCCAATCAAGATCAAGTCGTAAGAATTCATCGAAATTGTTACCTTGACGGTGACTGAGTGCCTGATTCTTGTATCCTAATCGGTACGGTATTGTGAGCCAGTATAGGTGTTCAGAAAGACTTAAATCCAGGCAACACAGACTAAACTTGTTCTGAACAAGGTGTTTGTGATGTAGCAAGACTAAGACATCAATCTAGTGAGTCGCTATCGGTAAGAGATGATTCTGGTGAGCCATCATTCAGCTTGGAGTACTTTTGGTATACCCTTTGGCAAGCTCACCACAGTGTGAAATTCACATAGCGGCTATGGCTAACTGATAGGGAGTTTACACATTGCAAGCATAACCAAGCGCACACACCCGCACAAAATGAGTAGCGATCCTGACCGACTCGAAAAAGACAGAATTAGCAATTGGGATTTAGTGTCATCAAATAAACTACCGCAAAGAGTTGTTCAAAGAAAATTCAGCTTCTACCAAGCCTTATTGCTATCATAAGTAACCTTGTAACGATGTTGTTAAAATGTGAAAAAAAATGGTTAGGAATTTCAACGTGCATTCTTTCAAGTAAATTAGCTCGCATGTAAGAAATTTTAGCAAGTCGAGATGTCAGGTGAGGTGGAATAGGCATGGGATCGTAAATAACAAAAATTTGTACGTGACACAGCATCTACCCTTCGGTAGGCATGACTACCCTTAAAGGCATCGAATTCTCCCCTTGGTTAATCGATGGTGAAGAGTGAAACAACACAATTGTCACGTAATCATTATCTCATGATAATTTTTCAGTAGCACCAATTCGTTACGTTCTTGCAAGATAAAAGTGATTAAATTCAATGTGTACCAATACATCCAATGGCTACAAATTAAAATGCACCGCCAGTGAGTTTCCCACATAAATCCGCACTACGTAGGGTGGGTCGAAATCTGTGAAAGTATTTTCGCCTAGGAAATAGCCTTCACTACCTCATGTGCATTTATGACTCACGAGGGCCACCCACACGTGGGTCGGGACGGACTGCCTTGAAAGCTAAGTTTAAAATCTCGTTAATACAGCCTGTTGAAAGAAAACACCAATAAGCATCAGCTGAGTTGAGTCGGTGCGTGTATCCTCCACCATGCGATCGCTTCAAGGCCTCACCTCTGTCACATGCGTGCATGCGAACAATCTCCAATTGAGGCATTTTTTCGATGCCAGAGGGGCATCAGCACTGCCATCTTGACCAAAGTTGTCAAGCTCATGTGAGAAAATCGATCGATCAGCGGTTTACAAGAAAATGGGTGAGTGGCAAAGCAGAGTGCCTCATAATTGGCATGCTTGAAGGCAGACACATGCGCACACGCGCACGCATTCGCACATACACCAAATCACATTTAATCACATGAACGGATGAGCAAGCTGACCTGCTAGTTGGATGGTTCCATCGCTGTCAGATCATGCTTACCAATAAAATGAAGTGGAGACGCACACTAACATCAATTACTGCAATACTGTTTAAGTGCTTGGTGGCTTTGTTGTTTTGATTAACCAAGTCTGAATTGTAGTGAGGCGCTATCCAGTGTGGTTTTTTCTAACTTGCCTTCCACTCCATATGCTAACGACTTACAGCCCTGCTGGAGACTGACACTCAACTTACAGGAGTTAGTCTTGCTTGATGTTTATTATTTCAAAATTAACAGATCCAGTTAAAACCATAACAGGTATAAAGGCTTCATTTCCAATTTGGTCTGGTAGAAATGTAAAAAAATTTAAGTAAAATATTATTCCATGCGAAAAGGTAATGAATACAACCTAGCACACTCAGGTGATGATGCTGCCGTTGGCGTTTACTAGTTGGTATCGTTTAATATAATAAAGATTAGAAAATGTTTTATGCCTAGCAATGAACTGAACAGCTTGTGAGTAAATGCGACACACCGCCAGTGTTTCTCGTACCTATTTTATCTTCGTCTCTTCAGAGATGTGTCCATTTTAAAAATTCTTTAGTTTTTTTTAATTTCAAAGCAACTTTTCAAACAAAAAACCCAAAACCGACGCATTTTCTGTGGTGTTATAAACCTATCCAAGACTAATTTAAACTGGACGGCAGTAAAAGTGGAAAGTTTTCATCAGAAATAAGGCCTTTCGCGTTGTGACATAGATAATGTCATTAATAAACGGAACCAGTAAACAAACGAAAAAGTGACAAAGTAGTGGTTGAGGCCCACGTGCATCACACATAAGCAGCAATGAGACATTTTTTGGATTCTGTTATTATGATAACGCGAAGCCATTAAACAGCAGATCTTATTGTGGTATCAAAGCTCAATAAACGGGAGAACCTACGTGTATCACAGCGATTGTGAAAACAACAAGCTTATGGAGCGATAAAACGACTTTATGCCAATTGGTACCTAAGCCTACTCTTACAAACAGTCACGTGGTTGGATTAAATTTCATATACACCTAGAAACGGAACGGTGTCTGAGTAAGAGTAAGTCACTAAAATCGGATGAGTGGATCTTATTAGGGCTGTGTCAATGCACAGACGACGTCATTTCTTCGCCCTATTCTTTCAGGCCAATAACATTTTGTTGAGACCAGTGCAAAAATGAGTAACGGGCTCCTTCCATGTTAGTAATTTGCTTTACACCAAAATACACCTTAAGATTTATAAAATTTTTGGGGTTCGGTTAGGATTAGGGAAGAATACATTGATAGGTCTAGTGCCTTCGGCCCCTATACACACCACATAGATTGCCATAAACATCAGGATTGTTTTGAACTGCGCAAATTCGTAATGAGAATCCAATGTGCACAAGTTAAAGTTTTGATCTCTTACTAGATTCGAGTTTTGACGTTCGGTCTAGGACACTATGTTGGCTCGTGGAAAAGGTGAAGATATCGCGTGCTTACTTAAGGAAAAAGTTAAAAAGCGCTATCAAGAGCATGCAAACATCTTAAATGGACAATTGACGATTTCCCCAAGACCTTGAGTATCGCCGCGAATAAAACTAACCAAGTTAAGCCTAGCAACACTTAAGAATAAGTAGCAAGACCTGTGCATTTTGCGTTTCTACGCTCAGGAGGCAGAAGAGTAATAAAACATTACACAAGGACGCAAGTTGTCCATCTCGCACACACATACAAGCGTAGGAGTTGGTGAGGAATCTAAACAATGGAAGGTTTGTATGTCAACACAGGTGCATTGATGCAGGACCTTTTACAACACTTAGTTGCCAAACTTTTCTCGTAATGCATGATTGAGTAACGGGAAAACAATGGGGTTTACAGTGAGGAAGTCGTTAAACAATAACAACGAGGAGTAGTTACCAAACTTCACAGATAAAATCAGGTACTTCGCTCGATTGTCGTGAAAAGTAAAAAGCAAAAATGCTGAGTAAACCCACCAGTTTACGATAAATGACAACCATTTTACAAACGGGTCACAAAATTCCTTATTAATTTTTTATGCCAAGATCAAAGGGTGAATAATGAAGAGCCTTTTACTCTTTATCTCCACATAAAAACCACGCCATTAGAGTATTCAAAACCATACACATAAGACCTTGGAGAGAAATGAAATTGTTTTTTGGAAAAGCTGGAAACTTTAACAGCCAAACCATAATGAGAACTTCCACCATAATATATATATATATATATATATATATATAGATATAACATGATGAGAGTTTAATCAATGTTGTGATTATTGTAAAGTGAGTTCATAAGAAATCGCTTGTTTTTCATTGGCATCGCTTTGCATTAAAGTGGAATTCGTGCATTAGTACACAGCCAAATTCTATAATCGCCACATGTTCAAAGGCCTTTTTTGAACAATCAGTTACTGTGCAAGTTCTCTTGAATGAAGGTGAAAACTTAAGAGTAATTACTCGAGCCTTGACGAGGGAAGCTGAGATCGCATACTATTGTTGACGCCAAGTCACAACTAGATGGTGAGTAATTACTACACATTGGGCTGGCGTTTTCACATTGGTCCTTCTGGAGTTGAGAAGCGCTGGAGATGGTATGAGCACTTTCATCTAACCGCATCAGTCTAAGCTGACTCCCACGGCGTCTGTGTACGTTGACTATCTCGTGATATCACACGACTGGTTGCGTTAAAATCACACCGCTACGGTAAGGCATCGGTGCGCTTAAACAGGATGAGACTACAGTTTTATTTCCTTTGTGCGTAAATTCAGTCCATTTCGCTGTGAGATGCGATGATGTCAATTCGGCAAAATGACTAATGCACAACAAGTTGGAAATGGGGTTAGTATCGGTGATTAACATAGGAAACAGTTGCGCGTATATGTAAATGGGCTGAGAGGAGGAGCAATTCAGTGTTGGTACAAGGTGGATCAAAACTTCGAAGCTACGGAACCACTTTATCGATCACTCAAGTTACACAATTATTTGTGACCGGGATGATAAAGGAGTTGAACCCCAAGATCCCAGTTTATTGACCACTCTACTCCTAATTTGATGGAGTTCCTCCCAAGTTAAGCTAATAAAAGCTAAGTTTATAATTTTTAAAGTTTTACTTGAGTGAAGAAAATGTTCAAAAGAACAACCAATTAAGTTAGCAAAATGTTCCAGTACTCAAGTGTAAACAAAACAAGCGAAGGCAGAAGGCTACGACCACTGTGTTGATTTAGGACTACGTAATCTGTAGCCATGTCAAATGCAACGCTTTCGTCTAAGTGCTTGTATTAGGTAATGCTTTCGCAAATATCGTTTCAACCAACAAGCATAGGACCAAGCAGTAATCTGTTATTACTATGTCAAAGCAGACTCGATGTGGCAATGAAGTAATGCCAAGTAAAAGCTAGTCAATGTGTACAAGGAGCAGTTGTTCTTGAGTACCTTTTCTACACTTTAAGTAATTACATCCGGAAGATCACAGCGTTAAAATGTACCAAAGTCGCATAAAAGCTATAATTACTTTCATTCATCAAATTTTATTGAACAGAAGTGGAATTAACTATGGCGCCCTCAAAATGTATGTTTAGCTCCATGGAGGACCTAAAAGTTCGAATACAGCTTGTTGCACCATTGAGTAGGGTCATCGTGACGGAAAACATCCTAGGACAGCAGAGGTGCGCAAATTAAGGTGCTAATCAAAGCTTCAAGAATGTTTTTAATGCACAAGTGAGCAATTACTTTAGTTAAGCATAGGTCAAGACGGCCAAACCTTCTCAAAGGCTGCCTATTCCGGTTAATGTGCAGCAATAAGATAGTGAAGATGAAATTCCGCCGATTAGCTGTTTAATAAAAAATAAAGCTTTAAGACTACTAACAAGTCAATCTCAGAACACGTTAATCAAGCAGCCTTTAGAAGTCTAATTACTGCCAAGCGGGAGCTGCCTCTTAATACTTCATGGATGCGACTCTGCATCACTATTCTCTGCACTTAGGATAGAGGTTACGGAGCTGAATTTTGAAAGCAAGAGAAACAACGCACTAGTTCCCAGGAAGGGAAAGAGAACACATTAAAAGAATGAGGATGAATTGGTTTTAGCAGCATCATAGTATGTTTTTGACCTTTAGCAAAAGCAAGGACTACCAGTACACACTTTCTAAGCTAGAAGTACCCTTTTTAAGAAAGGCTTCTATGTTTCAGTACTTTGGACAGAATAGTGAGTACGCTTTCTACACTAAAAATACCAAGGTTAATTTTACGGTGAAAAGAGAAAGCGTGCGTAAACCTACTGACGACGACTACTTACAATGACAGCCTATTTATACATATCTCTGGACGGATTGAAGGACGAAAGTACTAAGAGCTCGATTATCAATGACCGCTATGAATTTGACAAATGATTCTACGTGAAATCACTTAGTATACCAACGGTTAAACGCAAGAATTCAGTGGTAAAAAGGAGTAGATCGGATAGAATGCGACAAAACTCGCATTCACCTGTGGCCGTGACCTAAAAGCAGACGCGTCTCTACTTGAAAAACCTCCAACGCTAGCCCAGGATCAGTCATTTTAATCCTTTAGTCTTCACATCTCGCAGCTGCCCTTCACTACAAAATGACCTAGTCAGAAATACCTATCGGAGGATCTCCTGTACCGACAACCATAAGTTACTGTCACTAATATGAGTTTAAAGATCCAAGTGGAGCGAAATCCCCTAACCGTCATTCCTTCACATGAATTGGCAAGCTAATGCATCATGGAGTTTGAGAATTAAATAACCACACATCACCAATTACAAAAGTGAATACCAAGCTGCTGCTAAAAGGAGTGGCGACATGTTAAAACCTCGAGGAAGATTTAGTAAGTTAACTTTATCGGAGACAGCATAGGTCGACCACCTTACCACCACATCTCAATGTTAAATATATTTTGTCTTTTCTACTAAAATGATGGAAGTATAATGACTCAGTGCACAATAAGAGCAGGGACATTGCTCCAAGGAGTAGTCAAGTTTAAAGAAATAGGGAGATTGAAGCATACATCGCGAGAGAGGAATTGCAAAGCAAACTATCAAATAGAAAGTCCCGCAATGCCACAAACGCTTGGAGACAAGCTGTCTGCCTTTGACGAATGAACAATATATTTCGACAAAAATATATGTTGTGGGAAAACGTAATGAAGTGGATGATAAACTAATAAAAAAGCGAATAAGGCATGTGACTAGATAGGCCACGGGAGAGTTTAGCGCTGAATATACCAACAGTTACATAGCCGGAGTCAAAGGCGAAATAATCTTTAAATCTTCTTAGAAAAGGAAATCTGGCTGCATCGATCACGCAGCACTCGTCCGCTCCGAAGGTTCAGGCGACCAGAAAGGACAGACCGAACTTTCCGATTTTTCGACAATTTAGATGTTTGGTGGACTGTAGAGTCCTGTTGAGCTCCTTCACAGATCAAATTTTTATCTGCGTCAATCTAAACGAGTAGATAAACAATGAACTAGAGAGCAGACTCATCCGTCCTATAAGAGGTTCAAAAACAATAATTAGCTTTCTCAAATACTATGAAATTATAGTACTGATGGACCGTGTGCCTGATTTTAAACGCAGAGCAAATTAATCTGGGAGCGTGATCCAGAGAACATTGGCTCACTTAATGACAAATGGCTTACTTTTGCGGAATTAAGAAACTTTGAAGCACTAGGCAGACTCGAGGCATCAATGAGACCTAAGGAATTGATAAAACTATGGTAGTAAACGTACAAGAGTTCTCAACATCCGAATCGTTCGCGAAACATCCGCCCTAAATAAGCATATACCGCAAAAGTGAGGCACGTGCCTGAAGACAAGGAGCCAAAGAACCATTTTCAACATTAGTTTCCAGGAGCATATGCCTAGAAAGAGCGAGACTGGCCTCTTCTCGAAAACCCTCTTCTAAAGCATTGTCTCTAGTAATTCTGGAAATAGCCTCATCGAATTCCGCCTTTATGGCACCCGGAGAAGCTACTCTCAGGGCCATTTGACCTGAATCTGAGTAGTAGACTTTAGACCAGAAAAGCACCTGTAACCTCGCGGAGAACATTAGCTTCACAGTCGCAGAGAGAGACATCCAAACCCTCAGTCCTGTTGGAATAATAACGTGGGAATAGCCGCTCGATTTCCGTATCACGAGCTTTATCAATACATGATGATATGTCTTTTAATCGACGCTTCCATACAGACAGCCGATGACGACATAATGGACATTCAAGGGTTGAAATATCTAGAGACTTTTCAAGACATTCTTGACAGAGAATATGACCACATGGGAGTTTCACGGGCTTAAAATAAATATTGAGGCATATGGGACAAGTAACGTCCATCCACCCGTTTTGACATAAAATGGCTAGACACCCGGTTGCAATGCTATTGGTTAATAGAGCGCAAGGTCACAACGTGTTTGGCCATTAGCAACAGCAGTTTGTAAAAAGGTTAAATTTTTAGCTTAGTGTCTAAAAATAGCAAAGCAATAGCTACATGATTACCTATTTACGAATGGACCCTACATTATTAGACGGAGGCATATTGTATCTAAAATGTAATCGTGGAAGTCAAAAACATCCTGCGAAAATAGGCCTGTACGAACCGCACCAACTACTGGGGAATAGGCAAACTGTGCTTCTGTTTATGCCTTGGTACTTTTATGCAGCCTTTTATAATTATATTTTTTGGATATAAAGAACAAACCTTTGATATTTGGTCCTATTGTGCTGCGGACATTGCCGAATTATACACTTAATTTTCTGTCGAAGGGCAACCATGATTGAGAAAGAAATAGCACGATACTTTAAATTCCTTATTAACCGTAAATTACTGATCAATGTATTGCACCAACTTCTTATTGACACCATGTTCTTTACCCATTACGTCGTGTTGGTCCTCGCCGAATAACCTTGGTAATGACCCAAATCGTTGGGTGGCAGCGGTAGTTTCTTTCGTATGTGTAGGTGCACACACATATTTAAGTAGGAATGCCAGAATTAGTAGTTAAATATAACCTCAATATAAGGTATAGCATGATCAACAAGAGACTGTTTTTAGTTTGCATTGGAACAATTTTTCCGAATGCTTAATTGCCAAAGACGTTTTAGTTTCCTACATTGCGTGTGATTTTTCATATACATTGTGTTCCGAGTCATATTTAGTTTTTATTGAATATTTTTGATGCTTATATAATTCTGCCCATCAATATAAATGCCTATTAAGCCAAATCAAATGTCGTGCGAATGCAAAGTAACTTCAGGAAATCTGAACCACAAACATCTTGTGAATCTTAAAGAGATTGATCTGTTGAATGTGCGGTTGGGTGCCCGGTGATGTCTGAACCGCTCGTATACATAAAAGTTCTTGTAAAGTGGGCAGTATTAGGCTATAAGAGAATAAAATGTCGTGAACCTGCCTTATTGTACTTCTGAGTCGTTTAGTTTGGTTTTAAGGATACTGAAATACAGGGAGAAATAAAATGGGACTAAAAGGATCAGCTTAGGCAATGCCATAGTTGTGGAAATATGAGGCATTGAAGCCATTTTGAAACAGTGCCTTGATTTGTGGGATCTGATCGTCGTCTGATATCCGCTAACCAAAAGGTGGCGGAGCGTAAAGGAATCAAAGAGGTCATGTAATTGAGAACGCAGTCCATGTGGTATATACATACAGTGATAGCATGATACCCATAAAACATCAGCACTTTTTTATCCACTAGCAACAGAACTTGTGTTTCAATTGGTGCATATTACACTTGATATGACGATGATATGAACACAAAAAGGGTACGAAAAATGGGTATAATTAGGAGTTTTGAAGATTCGATCTAAATAAATCTATACATATACGACGTGAGGATGTGGAACCTCAACTTCTCTAAGGATGAAAGAAGACAGCAGAGAAGGTTTGGACAATCAGTATGTTACAGAGGTCAAGGCGAGAGGCAGAATTGCGGTATCTGTATCCTTTGGTACCCGTTAACAAGTGAATAGTTGAGCAAAGTGCTAAAGTGCTGGACTATGACGAGGAGAAACATGTGGGTTTGAGTACCGATTTGTACAATCGAGGGCAATACAACACATAATCCCATAATTTAAAAGTAAACAGCATGAGTTGCTTAAATTTCAAGTGTCCTTTGAAGATTTTTGTCTCATTTCTAGGCAAATTTTGGTGTTTTTAATGACTGTTAAAGACCTTTTTTGAAACATGAAGGAGGAACCTAGACATTAGCGATAGGATGAAAGAAATTAGGCTTAAACAAAGCGCCACTGATTTGGGATAAGAACACTTGGTATAATTAACTACAATTTCATGTTAGCTGTTTGTGTAAACATGGGGAAAGGAGTACTTAATGCTGTCATGATAACAGGGGCGAAGGTAGCAAAATAACGGCCATTTGCCCATAGTGATTTGTAACGGTACAATACGCACCCCGTGAATGACTTTTAGGTTTCTGAAGGATATCCGATGTTTGCTGTTTTCTATTCAGCGGGTGAAAGTACTATTATGTCGACTTCATGGCGAGCTTTTGATTCAATAGACCGATTGGCATTGCAAAACTCTATAAGGGCAAATCATGACCCTTATTGCGAGAAGACTAATTTAATAAAGGCAGAAAATATAATAGAAGAAAAAAATTATTAAAACATATTTCATGTAAGTGAGGAAACAAGAGTAACAATGCAGATAAGGAGATGACTTGAGCTACGCCATTAGTATAGAATGCAGGTTGAGGGCAGCTTATAAATACAGACCTTGTGTAAGTCTAGTGTCATCGCTCACGTTAGTGGAGAGAACCGTGAACACGATTAGACTATGGCGCTTGTGAGTCCTGGTTTATCCTTATCACTTGGAGAGTGTCCTCTTCGAAATTGTTCCTTCCTTTTGAGATTAGGAGTAATAGAGCCTAAAAAGAAAACACTGCTAGCCCAAAAAAATGGCCGAACTTTTCCACAAATATCAATTTGAAGTAAAAAACGTCACTTACGGTAGACAAGTGAGAAATATCGAAACACATCGAAGCTCAGATTGCTATTCAACCAGGAACCAATGGAGGAAAGTAGGGACAATTAAAGTACACGATTCGGTAATAAGTCCATATTTGTTTGATCGGTAACTCACCATCATTGTTGGCTATTCATTCTATTTTGGGCGCTATAAGAAGTAAGGAATGATGGTCAAGCTCTGATTTCATCTAGTAAACATTAAGCTTATTCTTCCATTCTTAGTAATTCAAAAGTGTGGTTCATTCATCATTGTATCATATGCACTTATTTTAAAATTAAAAGGGATACAATAGAGTAAGTATTTTAAACCAAACTAAATTAATGTTAGTACAGAATCATAATATTTATCGCCACAACAATCGGAAAATCGGTGTGAAACAGTTGTATTAGAAGTAGCCAGACCTGATGAAGCGTTGACATCAAAACCACAGCAAAATCTAGTGCAGGAATTAAAGTGAATCGTCAAAACCAATCAAAGGTTAGTAGCACCTTAAAATACATCTAAGCCATTGGCCGAACGAGCACCAATCAGTGCGCAAAGGGGTCTTCAAGCAAGCTTATAAAGGTGACTGGTGAAACGGAAGCCGAAGAGGCTGAGACAAAAGTTGGGATGGTCACAGAGAAGTACAACAATCACCTACCACGCAGAATTGAGAAGTCAGGAAAGAAGCTCGATAGAAGGCAGGATAACGCCTCAGCGAATCTCATTTTTGTTTTTGCTACGTCACGGGGTTTCAATTATCAACTGTGTGACAATAGAGCTTTCAGTTCCTGGTCATCGATTGTGAAATCAAGCGCTTACATCAATGTAAGTATGACCTTTATATGCCATAGCATATTGCATTTGTTATGATTTGTGTCTCCTGGATGACAACAGTAATGCAATTTTGCGAAACTTACTGATATGTTACCAATATTTTAAAGATAGCCAATTCTTTCGTTAGGTCTTCGAAACCATGCCTGCCAGGAGTAGTCGTTACTTTTATCTAGACTCATGAGTTGAGATATTGACTGCTGTGGACTTTAATATAATCGTCTACGTCTTTTAGGATCGCCGCAAAGTTGAAAGAACTCGACCTTTTTCAAATAACTCTGACTGTTCGCAAGAAAATCTCTGCATCAAACATAGAATCTTCTTTGGCTTAGCAGCCCTTATACACCAAATGGATCTAAATCCACTCACAGGTGAAATTCAACCACCGCCCAATGTATATCCCTTTGGCAGTAGAAATGGTGACCATCCCAGTTTTAGCGATGAAGACGAAGCAAATTAAAGCCCACACCCTTCTCAACTTGATCTCAGGGTTGCAATGGTCACTACCTCCCACATTTGTAAATCTCCCCAAGCAATGAGATAAAACTGATCTTGAGAGAATAAAAGTAAACTCCTTACATGCTCACGATCGCGAAATTACGTTTTAAAAAGGTGGTCTAGTGTACTATACTCTTTTTTATGACAGTTTTACCACCTTCACTAGGTCTCCAAGGTTAGTAACGCGTGCTAATATTTATGTTTAAGTATGAGATTTCTTAGAGAAACAACAGTTGCCAAAGCTCCGACGTTTTGCTATCGAAATTGAACACCACTACTCGAAAACTAGCAAAGATGCAAGCATCTTTAAACGAGGCGCACTCAACATTTGATGTTCCGTGCGTCACCCTAACAGGGCTTTAGTTGTCCGGATCGAAAACAGCAGAATTTTTCTGCAACTGTAGTGATTTTCCAAGTCGAAGATAGAATGCAAATTTCAATGTATTATAGCTATAAAATAATGGATACAATTTTTCAAAAGGGTGAAGGTACACAAAATCGCAATGCACAAATGAAGGTGAAAGAGTTTCCATGCCAAATTCAAATGTATCGGGTTATACTAGAGCTGTCTGCATCCCCTCTGAAAGGGGCATCATTAAAAGGGATCAGAGTATTACGCATCCACTCACGTTGAATTTTGTCTTTGCTGTCGAAGTTAATCAGCCGAAGGGCGTGCAATTTATAATGACAAATGCATTCATTTTCGCCTCACTCTACTTAAGTTAATCCAAATTCATTGTTTTGACGTGGTGTAGGGATATTCGAGTTCTAAGGTTGCCTAAATGGCAATGTTGATGTATCCTGCACTCGGCTTGATGGGTGCCAAGTTTGTAAGCCACGACTTAAGTTTTACCACATGCGGTTGTCCTTGTGATGTAGTAACCGTAAATGCAAAGGGGAGGCACAAAAAGCTCTTGTAAAATAACCTGTCTGTGGTTTGCGTTAAAGATTTTGCGACTTTACGTGTGAGGGCAGAGACAATATCAAAGAGGCCCCTCAGAAATGAGCTAAGACCTATTAT